TTTCATCCCAACCCACAACACCTTATAGGAAATTAGAAAATACACCAAAAAATAAACAGGCATCCATTGTCGGTTGGTTTTTAATGAAACGCATTACTCATTTTGCGGCTTCAGCCGAGATTGAACCCATCAATGTAGTTCATCACTTTGTCAAATAGCTGAATTCTTGATGCTTCGCTAGGGCTATCAAGGGTATTTTTTATCGAGATTTCAACACTAAATGGATTGCCAAACCAAGGCTCAGAGAGACTCTATTCATCCTCCGCAGGTTCTGAATTCAGAGTTTTCCTTCTCCAGACCAGTTGCCATCTGGCAGTAGAACCCAGTTTGTCCTGCTATTTACCCATAGCTGGAGGGAGAGGAAGAGGATTCTTTCCCAAGGGTATTAGCACGTGCGAATGTAATGGATCTGACTGAATTCGAACTGGCCTGCGATTCCCTCAATCCAAATCGCTATCCGTTACTCCCACCGTGCCCTTCAGTCATAAGAATCGTGATCGAGGCTTTTCCTACAAAAATTGTTCAGACAAAATCATCCTGCTAATTGATGAGCTGTTCCCCAGAAAATACCCAAGGTGTCTTATCGAGTGACGACGTTGAATCACAGGTGGGACCGTGTGAGTTTGTAAAAAAAACTAATTGGTCTGAACCATCCTCGAAATGGGAAACACTGTTACATGAGCTGAAATGACTGAGCAAAACAAGTATACGAAATATTATAATAAATATAGTGGAAAATATATATCTTTTTTTAATCATTTGACTACAAACAAGGCAAAAAGCTCTTTAAACAATGTTTTGGCAGTTTCAAAACCATGAGAAACAGAAAACATTAAATAGAGAAATAATAAAAGATTAGGAATTTTTGTTATAAATCATAATGATTGATATTATTTTCTGCTACTAAGTGGCTAAAAATTTTTAATAATTTTTACGTTTTTTATTTATTGACATATGGGAGCACAATAAAGTTTTCGAAAATGCCAAATATTTTCGTCGTGTGGATGTGTGTGCGTGTTGTTGTATATATATATATATATATATATATATATATATATATACAGGTTTTAAGTAATTATTTGGCCATATTGATTTAACACCCGCACATTATATTTTCAAACGATTTTATCCCAAGTAACAGTACACTCTTTCCATCAAGAAACAAGATATTAAGGCGAGACAGATAGATATGAAGGAAAAAAAGATAAATAAATGATTTAGATAGGTATATAGATTGATCGATCGATCGATAGGGTAGATATGATATGATGAAGAAAATAAAATAATGAAGTGACTAGATAGATAGATATATAGATATATAGATAGATAGATACATGTGAGGAAAGATAAAATAGTGATTCAGATAGATAGATAGATAGATAAATAGATAGGAAATAAGTTCATTTGAACATATTCATTTAAGAAAATAATGAGATAGAGAGATATGTATTAACCATAAGATAACGGAAGGAGATAGAAAGAAGATTTGAAGAAAGATAATAAATTGATTGAAAATGGTAGATAGATAGATATGAAGAAAGAGTTAAAATTGATTTGACACAGATAGATAAATAGATATAAAGAAAGAGTTATTGATTGAGAAAGATAGATACCTTAGATAGAAATTGACAAAGTGAAATTGATTGATATAGATAGATAGATATATATATATATAGATATAGGAAAGATATATATAATATCGAGATAAAAGATAGATTCCAATGAAGAAAGAGTTCTCAAGTGATTGATAGATAGAAAGATAGATAGATATTGAAGAAAAATAAATTAAAAGATTGAGATCGGTTAGATCTTCAAGAAAGATTATTAAAGTGATTGAGATAGATATATATATATATAGATATATATATATATATATACATAAAACTGACATATAGATATATATATATATATATATGAAGAAAATAAGACAATGAAATGATTGAATACAGATAGATAGATAGATATGAATATATATATATATCATTATAATATATATATATATGATATATATATATATATATATATATATATCGTAAGAAAGAAAGAAAAGTCAAACAAAGACAGAGAAGATTTTCTTTTATTCTTTCAGACGTTTTAAACATACAAATATTTAAGTAAATGACGTTTATAATTTCTAGACCATCAGGTGAGGAATAAATTGATATGTCAAAAAATATAATGGCATAGCACATCATAGAAGCGTCTGTTTTTGTATTCCCTTAAGGCGCCCGTCTGAAGACACGAAGATATTTAAACGAAATTATGGACATTCAGGTAGGGTAAACACACATTGACACACACACACACACACACAAAACACACACAAATAATATATGATTATATATAATATTTATATCAAATATATCAAACTTTAAGTACAAAGACTTTGAATGTTATTAATCAAATACAAAATGTATTTGTTTGCTTGATCCCAATGAAAGTTTTTAATTATTGGGTCTGGATTAGGCCCGGAATGTTTAATTTTTTCACAGACTGACGAGGCAAATTTAATGATTCTTCCATAGAATAGTAAATAAAAAACGTGAACAAATTGATATAAAAATTTCATAATAATGAAAACAGCATTGATTTCTTGATAAAAAATACAAACACGCGTATATATATATATATATATATATATATATTTAAGATACAGGAAAATGAGGTAATCCTTTGTATGGGTAATAAGAGGATATTGTCCTGATAGCGTTAATATAAACGTCTCGGCCTTCAGGTTTTTAAAGAAAACAGGCCCCTTTTAAGGTTCCATTATAATAACCCATTTCCCAGAGCCATATTTGATGATGGACGCGCGAGATCATGCTAGATGGCACTTCAAAAATGAAACGAAAAATGAAATGAAATTGATGTAAGTTTTTTGGATTTAACAGAGAGTGTAATAGGAGAAGGAGAGACATGGTAGAGTTTAGAGGTTTAATTTAATATCTTCAAGTATACTTTTTTGGGGAGGAGGATGCCTAGACCTTGACCTATTTAAACGGGTCAACTGGTCACCCTCTTTAATTAGCTTATCACATGCGACGAGAGAAACCAAAATGTGTTTTGCCTTTTACACACACACACATACACACAGGCATACACTCACAAGCACACATACTCACCACTTGCGCGCACACACAAATACATACATATATATATATATATATATATATATATATATATATTTTTTTTTTTTTTTTTTTCTTACTAGTGAATTTTTTCTGATTTTCGTATCGGTCCTAATGACCAGATGGGGTCAGGAAATGCTGCGCAGCTGGAGCAGTTATTCCATATATGGGGTCGAAAACCGGATAGGTATTCGTTTATGCATATGCGTTTGGGCAAGTTGAACTGCGAAGCCCAACGATCCCCAGGAGCTGATGTCCTCTAACGTGAAGGTTTGTCTGATGTTATATGGACCGCATCGATCCTTTGTATTTCTGATAACCCCTTCACATAAGTCTAGAACTCTCTTTCTGTTCTGTGTGTACCTCAAGGCGCTTGCACCTGTACACAGTCCAGTTTTTCCATCTTAGGATAAATCGTTGTAGGGTACCAAGAAGACTGACCACCTTCTTATCTAACAGCCTGGTCTGAAAACGCGTTTTCTAGTGACCGATGACCTGACGGTGTTGGGACAGGATCCCTTTAGGTTGCATGGTACCAACGGAACTTGAAACTATTGTTCGAGAATTTTTTTTTATTGCATATTTGGACAGTCTTGAACCCATGCTCTGTTCGAGATAATCACATCCAGGAATGGAGGGTTGTTACCTTCTTTCTCCATTAGAACCGTATGGTTGTCTATTGAGTTCTCATTATGGTCCAGCAGAACCTGACATCTTCCTGATGTGCCAGAGTATGTCATCACGTACCATAACCATATAGTTGGCTTAGCAATATAGATTCTAATGCTTGTCAACCCTTTGCAGATTATTTAGCATCCATAAAGTAATTTTAGATCCTAATAATTTTTTTATAAAGATAATGGATATAGCGATAAGTTTTACTCATTAACCCAGGCTGGGGTGTGAGAAGAGGAAGGTATTTCTTTCCCAAGGGTATTTTGCGTGTAACGAACCCACCTGGAAGTTGAAACTCGGCCTGCGATTAGCAATTCCGTGCTGCTATATCGCGTTACCACCCGCACAGCCAAACTTACAGCACGTGGCATTCCCAATGGTCACCCACTTCCTGGTACTGACCCAGGTTTGACATTGCTTTCAAATTTTGATCGCATGGGAACCGATATTTCAGCATGATACGGCCGTAATCCCAAGAAGAGATTTGAGTGAGCAGACAAATGTTTCTGTAGAAGCATGCTGAGAATACCATGGCCAGAAACATGAGAAACAGGGATTTTAAAGAAAATGAAACAAATGGCCACTTAGTCGGACTATTTTCTCATCTTTGTCGCCAAAAAAATGATGCTGAAAAACATTAGAATATAATAAGTTCATAAATTCAGATCCTCATGACAGATGGCACAGTGATAAAGGTGTTGCTAGATCCAGTGATGACCTAGAAGAAGGTGAGTTCAATTCCCTGGTTAAGGCAGGAGAACTTTCAGAGGGAAAATAGCAGGAGATAACTGATAACCGACATCCATCAAACATGGTACGTGGAATTAGAACAGTTCACCCCAGCGATCGAAATAAAGGGTTCAGTTCGAAATTCCAAATCCACCTTGAAGAAGGCCGGAGCGTACAACGGCCGAAACGTTGTGGACAAATATGGCGACAAAAGATGAGGACACAGTCCACTAATGTAAATACCAGCATAATACCTCATCTCAGAAATATAGACTAAAACCCAAATGGCCACTTGTTCAACATCAGAGAAAGTTGACATTTTAGACACAGAAAGGGAAGAAAGATG